TTAGGAGTTTTTTGAAACCAGTAGGAGCCCTCTGAGCGGTGCCCACCGGAGGGCACAGCCGAGAGGTGCAGTGTGAATTGGGCGCCCAAAGTCCTTGCTTAGAAGATTTTTTAACAGACGTTAAGCTTATGGTATTTTTCGTGTGACAGATTGTATTTCTTTTCATTCTCCCTAAAATGTTCAAAAATTAAAGGGTTTATTTTTTAAACTGGCAGAATGCATTTTAAAATAGGAAAGCGAATGCTAGTACCAATTTTGCATTTAATAATAAAAGCAAAATGTGTTTTTTAACTTCCTAAAGAATCAAATTGTTAGATGATTCCCATTTGGCAAGATCATGAATGTTGATGTATTATGCCTTTTCTTTTTTTTTCTGTTTGGTCACTGTTAAGTTGAAAATAAGCTCCAGAAATTTAAAAAAAAATGAATTCTGGAAAAACATCCCCCCAAAATCACATTGTTCTTATTTTATTACTCTTTTTTTTTTGAAAAACCTAAGCATATATGTTATTGGTAAGTGTCTGTGAGTAACAAGAACAGGAACACTTACTTGCAAACTATTTTAAGTAAGAATGACTTATTTCACTCTAATTATTGCAGGCAACATTTAGGTATTATTTTCATTAAGTGCACTATTATTTGTGGCAAATTGTACTGAAACATTTGTGTTTTCCCCCCAAAGTCTTATGGACACCACAAATTCACCTGTTTAAATACGGAATTTACGGTGGTTGGAAGCACTCCTTTTAATTCTGTTATATGTGGTTTTGGCTCCCTAAATAATGTCTAGCTAAAACTTCTCTTATTACGTCCAGATGCAATTCATTTTTTTCTGATATGCAGAACACTGGAAATGTATCAGCCTTTATTATTCCTCATCGAAATGAGCGCCTTTAGATTTCTAATTATATTGTCTAATAAAACTAAACAGTCAATGCTATTTGCATATTATATGAAGAAGTGTCATACAACAAACTCATAGCAGTCAATTAACATAAAAGCTAATTATATATCTCATCAGCTTACAAGAGTTTCTGAATTCATGCTTCCCCTGTTGTAGCCTAGAGCAAAGGAGCTTTGAATTTTCACTTCTAAATATTGACTTTTAACTAATATCAGCAGTGATTTCAATTTTTATGGATGAAAAGTTAGTGATTAAACTAGATGCAATATTGCTACAATGCAATTAAAATTTTACATTAACTAAACCTCCAGAAAGAAAATCTTTGCTACAATGTGAAATTAATTATCAGTCACTAAGCAGGTTAAGTACTGGTTTCATATCTGAAGGACACTCCAAAATAACGATAAAGATGAGTGAAATTTATTGGAGGTTGTCAGACTGTAATGGCAGAGACAGATATACTACAACGACAGTTTCCACTGTAACATAATTGTATTCCTGCTGATTGTAACAGCTATCAAGCAAGAAATTTACTACAAGATTAACAGAGACACAGTAATGAACAAACATGGAGGCATGCTGTAATTGGCCGTTATTAAAGCGTTATCATAGCGGTCTGTAATAAACTCCCTAGCTCCGGTTTTCTAGAGAAGTCAAAGTCAGAACTTTCAAGTACTTTTTTCCATTCTAAAGTAGGGATGTGGGTATCCCCCCACCCCCATTCCATTGCTCACGTAACAAGCACAAGGTCAGAAGAAACGTAAAGGGGGAGAAATAGGCACTACATTTAGGAAGTATGATTAAGAGTTATAGGTGGGTTTAAAATTTAGGAAAAGTTAGGATTTACTTGGAGTGCTTGGGGTACTCTAAGATAGCAATGAAATTATCATGGATCATTTTTCTACTTATAACTTGTACCAAACAAGTCCATATGTAAAAGCAATGGCAGATAAGAAAACTGTGCCAGTGCGTGGGTTTTCTCTGGATACACAGGCCTTCTCATTCATATTTTAATGAGGTTAGTATCTCTGAGACAGTCCTTGGAGGGCAGAGGCAAGGCTCCCTAAGATTACAATAGGAGGTGCTTTATTGACAAGTACTATTCAAAATCTTCACAGTATAGAAAGACTTCGTTTTATTCCACTTGTCCCAATACTTATTGGCCTCTTATAATCAAAACACTTTGAAGGGGGGGGAAAAAGCCCAGTTATTCTGTGAACAGTCTTTAAATGTACTCATCGTAGTTCAACTACTTAGAATCATTTTAAACTCTAATCATGTACATTTGAATAAATGTATAAAGAGCTGTAATGCATAGCATCTTTTTCTTAAATATTTTCTCAAAAAAATTGATGCTTTGGCATTTTAGGATCAAAATGTTTCTTAACCTTCTGCAAAAATGAGCTCCACTCGTGTCAACGCTGGCTGTTTTCCCTTTCCTTTTTTTAACGAACATCGTAAGGTAGTGTCTCCGAGCTAGCTGCCAGCAAACATTTTCTACTTTTAAAGGATGTTTACTTTAAAGGGCTAGCGAATCACATCAAAAAGCCAGTCAACCTTCATAGACTGACAAAATTATAGAAATTCACACGTTTGCACCTTGCCATAACATATTTGTGTTAAAATAGGCAAAACGGTAGTATATTCAAACATGTCAAATTACACTTTCAAAATAAAAACAATCCACTGGGAGGTGGAAAGTTGTAACATGGGGAACTGTTTCCAAAAGGTGCAGCCTAGGAAGTGAATCAAATGGCCCGCAGAAGTGAGTTGTGGAAGGCCTTCCACACAAGCATCACAATTTTGCTCAAAACTTATATGCTCAGCAATTTTTGCAAATGGCTCACAATATTCTGTGAATTGAAAAATTAGTTTTCAGCGTGGCCTCTACTCAACATGAATTAGATGGTGTATTAGGATGGAGTTTGGTGTTCCAATGGAAGAAAGGCCTAAGTTTCTGAAAGCCCCGGCGATCAGACCATAGTGCCTCCTGGCTCTGTCCCCATCCCCCCAAGCATCAAGTATGTTTACTTTTCAGATGGGAAACCAGACGGGGGGAGGGAGGAAGGGAAGAAGAGAGAGAATGAATTTCTTGATTACAGTTAGATATTTTTTAATGAAAGAGTCTACTCTTCACTTTCAGGTAAAATGCTACTCTGTTGACATCCAGAAGCTACTATGAATATATTGTATATGTATCAGCTAAGGAAATAATACTTAAAATACATGCATCACAGAAAACGAAAACCTCCATAATCTTTCCGCTAGTGATCTGTCTGGATTAAATTACATTTTAAATCTGCCTCTGCATTTTATAGTTTTTCCAATGATTAGCATGTGTTTAATTATTTGTTTCTGTAAATTAATAAAACAGATTTTCAGTTTTGTTTGTTAATCTACGTGTTGTGTGCATGTTTTACAACTTAATCAATGAAAATTAATGAACGGCATAATTAAAGCGTAAGTAGAACGCAACTTGTGTTTGAAATGTGCACTTTGAGCCGCTTAGGCTGCAGTTTTTGAGGGCAGACATTTTTAGAGATTAAAACATTCGTGAGTTTTAAAAACGTGGCATTTGAGTGATTAGATACATGTGGTGGTATATTCTATTAAATAGTCCATAAGCTATTTGACTTCCGATTCGAGTGTCTGGGCCTTGAGAGCAGCTCAAAATCAAGCTCCAGTGGAGTCGTGGGGGAGGAGGAGGGATGTTACCTGTGCACAGGGGAGGCGCAGCTGATAGTTAATCGGCGGCTGTATTTCTCTGGCGCGTCCTCTTCCCAAGTTTCTTTTAGAATGTTTTGACAAACTGGCTTCCTTATTGAAACGGGGGGCGCCGGTGGCGAGGCGGGGCGGTTTGTAATGGAACCTGGGTCTAAAGAACACAGGCGCACCCTCCGCCCGCGCTTTCAAGGGGACGCCGCCGCGCCGCTGAGGAGATTTGTGGCCAGATGGCGGTGAAGCGCGGAGACCCTTTGTGCGCCCCGAGCGCGCCTGTGAATGTAGCGCGGTCGCTGGCACCGGAAGGGTTCATACTGCGCCTGAAAGGGGACAATGGAGGCTGGATAGATCAACACTGCAGAAATCGAGTTCATTTGTGATTCAGCCCCTTTCACTGCGGTTGTCATGCAAACTTCCTACTTTGATCAGCAGAGGGTGGAGAGGGAAAAAGCCCGCAAAGGCCGCGGGCTGCGGCGCGGTCCGGCGCCCTTGGCGGCTCCACGCCCCCTTCCGGAAGGAGCCGCGGGGACGCCGCATCCTGCACCTTGACCTGTCTAGACGGCCCCGAACGTTTTGTCTCCGTTACCAAGGGCGAGGGGTGCTCTTTGACCCGCGCCCGGGGCGGAGGTGGTGGCCAAAGGGTCCAGCTGAATCCTCGCCGAATTCCGGAGGGAGAGGGGCGAGCGGGGACGTGCACCAGCTGTTCCCAAAGAAAGCAGCCCAGGAGCCAGCCTGGGAGATGGGGCGCCCGTCCGTGAGCCCCTTCCTCTCCCAGCCCCGCGTCCACCCCAGCCCGGGCCATCGCGCGGCTGCAGCGCGGGGGACGCGCAGCCAAGGGCAGCCCCGGGGTGGGCCAGACTTTGGGCCCCCTCAACTTCTCCCCGACTAAGGGGGTCTGCAGCCAGCTGAGCGCGCGCTCTCTCTCCCTCTCTCTCCCTCCCTCTCTCTGTCTCTCCCTCCTTCTCTCCCTCTCTCTGTGTCTCTCCCCCTCCTCTCTCTCTCCTCTCTGTCTGACAAGTAGATGGATAATAACTGCCATTTTCTATGCGTCATGCTTTTTGCTACATGCTCAGTGACTTCTAAACATGATTCTATGTAGAGGTATAGTTTCTAGTTTGAATGTATTTTTTTCTGTCCACTTTGCAATATATGCACTTTTAAAAAGCTAGAATTTACGCTAACCCCGTAATGATGTAAAGCAGGTTGTTGTTACATTGTAGTAACAGTCTACGGTACCGTCTACTGTGTCTGTGCTGGGAAAGTGGCACACGTTTGCATTCATGGAGAGTGTGGCGTTTCCATGTGGACTCGCCGGAAGGTCTTTGAAGTAACATTAACATTAAGACAAGTTTCCTCGCCCTGTCTTTCTTCTTAGATCCCCCTAGCCCAGTCGGAGGCGTTCCTAACGGACCTTTTGGAGAAAGTCTGTGAGCGAATGAACGACTACAAGCTTGAGGAAGACCCTGTGACGAAGGAGAGAACTTTCAAGAGATTTGCTCCTAGGAAAGGAGACAGAATATACCAAGAATTTAAAAAATTATATTTTTATTCTGATGCTTACAGACCTTTGAAATTTGCGGTAAGCTCTCTTCCTTGCAGATGAATCGTATGATCCAGAAACGTGTTTTTGGAACTCTTTTTTGTTGTTTACTACTCTTGTTGTAGTTGAGTTTCAAGATATGGAACATCACAATGCACATTAAAATGTCACCTGCTGACTTTGTTATCTTGCTGCTTAAGTGCTCACCATACATTTAGTAACTTGACTTTTGAGACCCTAAGGGGTTGTGGCAATTTGTGGTGATCAATGGACACGTTTCAGTGATACTTTATGGAAGGTGCTGTTCACAAATCCTGGGGACTTGAAGACACAGTTTTGCACAATGCTTTGCTTAAAATATTTGTGTAGGGACTCCGGAGTGGTCTCCGTGCTGGTGCGAGGAAGGTTCTCTCACAGGTTTCCACGTAAGGAATCAGGGGCTGTGGTTTCCAGGTTAAAAGCCAAATTAAAACGAATGTCGCTTTCAAATATTTACAGCCAAATGCTAGAGGGAGAGTGATGCAACCATCTCTTTTTTTCTAAGGCTTCACAGAGGAGGGAGAATTGAATCCTGAGTTAATTCTAGTATTCTAGCCCAAGCTAAGTTAAACAAAGGCTTAGGTATGATAGTGGGCTTGATGTCAAATTTCCTTCCAGTATAATGTTGATTTTTCATGAATAGTAGTCTCTGGCTTGCTAGAATATGCTTGGCAAAGTACATTGCAATATATTTCACTTTAGTCAATGCTGTTGAATCAGGCAAAGTGATGGGCAGTCCTATTTTTAAAAATGTATTATTAAGTTCACACATTGGCCAGAATATCAGGCCTGCTGAATCCTTGAAATAAGGGCTTTAGCCAATTTTTAAAGATTTTATTTTAATTAGAAAGTAAAGGCAATTATCAGGGTTAAAAGTACCACAGAATAAGAATGGCAATGAATAAGTGCGTTTGTATTTCACAGATTTTAAATAGGCAAAACCTGTGAAATTTAAATCTTTTAAAATGCCATTAAAAATTTTTAGAGTCTTGCTTAATGAACTCAGAAAATGATTTACAAGTCTCTAGTGAATACCGTTGGGTAACTTCACAGCTCCTAAAAGTATAACCTGGTAGTTCTTTAACAAAGAAACATACTTCAGTTAGAATTTAAGATTATCAAATGCGGGGGCATATTTGAGCACCCTCTTCTCTGAAAGGTCAGAGTGTTTTGTTTTGTTTTGTTTTGTTTTTCCTCTTTTTTAGTGAAGTGAAATTTTGGATGGATCTCTAAATAGTATGAAAAGACACTTCCCGAAGTAACTGTCAGGTGTGTTCTCCACAGTAAAACTGAGGATGAGTTTGTTTTGATTGCTGAGAAGGCTTAATTGTTTTCACACTTTCAAGCCACAAAATGGATTTTTATGTTAAATCTGAAGGAAACTGGTTTAACCATTTCGAGGAACTGTGGTCTTTTAATTTTTTTTTTTTTGTAATTTAAAAACCATTAGACTTTTCAGCGCCTTAAATGGGAGGCCCGTTTCTTCCTATGGCTTCCATTCCAATTTAAGGAAGTGAAACATGCAAAGAATGATGTTCCTTCCTCAGCCTCCCACATCTTCCAACACAACTCATCATGTACTTAAGCCCCAGGAAAATGATGCAATTAACATTCTGGGAAGAGGGTTAATCCAATGCAATGATGTATTAAACCAAAAGGGCTAATAAAAATGGACCACCTTGGTTACATGATTTCCTATGTGGAGCTAATAAATTGTTGCAAAGTCCTTCCTAACAAAGTGCCCCGCCAGTGTGCGTCTATCCACATATGTTGTTATTATGTTTCTGCAGTGTGAAACTATAATAGAAGAGTATGAAGATGAAATATTCTCACTTATCGCCCAGGAGGCACACTATCTAGCTGACAAGCTGTGCAGTGAAAAATCAGGTACTGTGTCTGATGTAACATGTACTCGCTGCTCGCACACCCTCTGTCTCTCACTCAGCCTTGCAGCGTCTTGTTTGCAGACCGAGCCTCGCTGCCTCTCTGCGACCCACAGCTCTGACACAGGATCCCCTGTCTCCGCTGAATCAGAAACAACAGCATGTGAGAGAAAACAGATAAACAGAAACCACAGGGCTGTGTGGCCTTCCTCTTTGTACTTTCTTTCCTCTACATGTTAAGTGAATTCAAACATTCTTGATTTCCAGTTGTTAAGGAGAAAATTCTTGTTCAGCATTAGAAGACTCCAAAGTACTTTCTTTTTAAGAACTTTGAGAGAGAGGATTTTTCCATCCTGGACCAGGGAAGGAGACCTTCACTTCATGGCTTGAGTATTTGCTACACCAGCAGAAGGTGCGATTTTTGTTTTGTAAGAACTTTCTAAAGTTTTTTTTGTTTGCTTGTTTGGGCGCGGGGGATGCTGGATTTTTTTTTTCCAGGTTCCATTCCTGTATCCACTTCTTAAAAAAATTTTTTTTCTGGCTCAGAGGATGGAAAATAAGTTAATTCTTAAGCATATACACACACTCAGAAGTTGGAAAAAATTAGCAGAATTGTATTTATAACATACAGAGTTGAAAGTGGTCACTGACTCTCCACTCTGTTGGCTGTACGTAGACCTTCTAGTCCCCTAACTTGGATGCTTGTTTAATACATTTATAAGAATGGAGTACACAGTTGTGCATTCTTTTTGGATATCTTTGGGAAGAAATGAGTGAGTAGATATGAAGACAATGACTTAAAGCCAGTGGGGTACTTTTAAACAATGTGGAAGTTTGAGACAATTAGCATTCAGCAGTTGTTTACAGTAAAGTATAGAATACACCTACATCCATTATATCAAATGTAGTGCCAAAGTCCTTAAAATAACAGCTACTGCATATTTGTAGATAAATATTCATGTCGTCAAAAGCCATTAAACAAGAAGTACACAAATCCCCCATTAACAGAACAAGTAAAGTTTTTTTTTTTTTTACTCTGAGTAGATAATTGGGTTGTTTCCTGTTTAAAATCCAGTTTTAATGAAGCTTGCAAAAGAATACAGTGAGACGACGTAGTCAGGATTATTCAGGCATTTGGCGTAGTCTTCTTTGATGTTGGAGATATACTATAGAAATGTGTGACGTCCATAGCCACAACTTCCCACAGAAAATGTTTTTAAAGTGTTTCAAACAATTCAGAGATGTATGTAGGCGTTCAGATATAAGCAAAAATGTGATGAACAATATTTGAAATGTTGATTTTCCGATTTTTTCCTCATAAAGGACGTGATCTATGACAAACGCAGATCCACTGCTACATGGGCCCTCTCTCAGATGCTCCAGGAGGACTAGAGAGGGTTCCAGTAACTAGTCCCAGCAGTGGTCACCCCGAATAATAATATCCTGGGGAAAGACTGCTCCCAAGTTTGTCAATTTGACTTAATTTCAATAATCTTAACTACCTTTCTTCATTCCTTCTGCCTATTTATAATTGGAATAAAAATTAACACTAACCTTGGGAAAATGCAAGCCTAAAGAATAAACCTAAGATAGGTGCAATTTTGCAAGGATAAAATGAAACCTGATTAGATAATTCTTAATTGGCATTTGATTTTTAAAACACTGATTAAGTCCTTACCACTATGAACAACAGTGTTGGAAGTCAAAGGTGTGAAAGATACTCAAAGGTGCAAGCCATCATTGAACCACAACGTAGTGAAACAGGGTGAGTCCTTTCAGGTAACGTTTCTTCCTGAAACATATTTATGGATGTTCTGAACCACTCATAAGTTAAAAACCGAGAATAAATTACTCCTAGAAAGGGACTAGACTTCTCCCACCCACTCGAAAAGCCCTGCTGTTGAAGTGAGTTAATACCACAATAACAAGGAAGAGAGTTTCTTCAAACTGAACAATTTTTGATAGAAAAAGCTCAAGCAACACATCAATGATAAAAACTGTGATAAGCGACTAAAGCAACAGAGAATTCATGCGTCTTAACACATGAGGATGGTTTCAGACAACTGAAGGATGAGATGTTCGTATAGTAGAAAACTCCAGATGCACTGGTGCCTAGTCGAAAACACAAGGACAGCCACTTTACAACCAGAATATGACAGTCACACTCTGCTTTGTGAAGGCGATACTTTGCCCTGTGATCTAGCACTACAGCTTTGCTGTGATAGATTCTCTAGAGTTTAAACAGTGTCTTAAAGATGTGACTCTGTGTGTGTGTGCGTGTGTGTGTGTTTTGGAGGGTATGGAACTGCACATTAAGCAATAACTATTTACTGAGTGTATACTAAGTGCAAAGACACTATGCTATTAAAATATTCACACGCTGCTTTTAGGAAGATAAATATTTAGAAAATAGACATTGGTAGAATTAGAGGTTTTATTGAAAGTTTAGTTCCTTTCTACACTTTACATACATCTTGTTTATATAAGAGTTTCACTTTTTTTCTTCTTAATGCAAATTATTTCACTTTATTTATAATAATCACATGTTGGCCAGTAAGGGCATGTTCACAGACTCTTCCAAATATTGAAGTTCTAACATTCACCCATACACAAAAATAAGTGGGGAAGAATGGAGAAAATATATATGTCAGATTTAAGATGATTGTGTTTGGATGAAAATATAACACATCACTGAGATTTTCATAAACATTGTGTGTCATTTTTTTGATGAGTGAAAAAAATCTCAATGAAAGGTTATAGGATTACAAGTGAATCTGTGGCTGCCGCTGCAGTTTATATACTGGATAGAATAAAAGTCATCAAATGTACTCGGTTTTTGGAGTGTGAGACAGAGTAATAATAAGGGGTTATTCCTCAGATAATCTCTTTTTTTCCTAGGCAAGAAATAAAGGCAAGTTCATTAGATGTTCTTGGTGGAATATCTTGGGGCATATAGCCCAGACTTCTCTAGAATGTCATTTTGATGTCTTGGAGTCAAAATGATTAAAATCTTAATGTGCTATAGGGTTGTGATGAAAAGTGCAGCTCTTTGCCACTCAAGGTATGGAACAGAGTACTGTAGCTTAGAAATGAATGGATCTTCTAATACTCATGGAAGTATTTGTTAAATAGAGTATGTGATGGCATAAATAAATACACAAATATATTCTGTATGTATCACTTCTGCTTCCATATCAAACTTAACATTTAAAAGCATCATCACTGATGAATTTGCCACATAACAATTTTGAATGCAGCGTATGAAGATGAGATCATGTATCTAGAAATGTTGAGCCTACATTTAAAGTAAAAGATTTTTCCCTTTTTATGTAGACTTCTCAACACTAATGGAAATGTTAAATTCTAATACGTGAAATAATTACTTTCAAAGGTGAGCATATTTTTTAAAAGTTATGTAGCTAAAGTAATCCATAGCCTTTTTCAATAGAGTTTGCATTAATTGCTTCCAATTGGAAAAGTAGTATCACCAAAGTATCTAGTTGCTGCTGTGGTCCTTGGGTTAAACGCCAGATGTCCTGTGCCCCTTACAAGCTGTGAAATATCTCTGAATGGAGCCATGGGTGAAATGACACAATATCTTGGCCTTGCTTTAAAATCCTCCAGCCAAAAAAGACTGGAATATGAGGCAAGAACAGCAGTGTTGATCTTTGTTGAAGTTGGGTTTGGGGTGCAGGGGAATAGATTACACCTTTCTTTCTGCTTTGGGGTAATTTCTATAATAACATTTTGGGAAAATTTCCGTAATAAAAGTTTTTAAAATATGCTTCCACCAGAACGTCGTTTTTGCATAATGAAAATGACTTAATGGGCTGGTGTCTAAAGTAATAATGATGCTATCTAATTTTTTTTTTCCAGATCTGTGTGAAACTTCTGCTAATCATACTGAGCTCTAGGAGTGCCGTGCTGCTAGTTGTAGAGAGGAGTAAAGTCACACCCAAAGGTCAATGTCTGCATTTTATGTTTGCATGTTATCTTTCATGATAAGAAATTTTGTCTCTTGTTTATACCATGTTTGTCTCCGTTTATGATTTATTTTGAAAATCTGTTGTTTGACATCATGACAAACCCTGAGTTTTTTTATAGGTGAAGCTGAGGAGTACATGAAACTTAAATTAACCTTTGCAGATTTTGACGAATCAAGCTTGACAAGAAAGAATTTAATTCTGTATTGGTGGAAAAAGTGAAGACGTTTCATAAACAAAATAGGGATTTCATAATGTATGCTGTTTATTTTATAACAGTGTATGTGCACATATACAAGTGCAGTAGCTATCTGATAAGAACTGAATTTGAATTCTCAAATACTTGATTGCCTATAAATTTAAGGAAATACACGGCAACAAATTCAAAATGTGGTCTTCTGGGTGAGATGGCTATCGGTGAAAGAAACAAACTCACTTTTTATCAGGAATGAAATTTAAATTTTTAGAAATCACAAGTTTAAAAATTCATCTCTAAAATTTAGTGGAGTGTGTAAAAACTAATGAATGCTTTAATTTATAGTAAACAATAATTATATTGGCCTCTCAAACACCAATCTGAGTTTAAATGGTTTAGAAAGTTGAATTATTATTGCATCATGTGTTAAAAGATGACGCTAGTGATTGTGTTTTGTTTTACTCCAAACTCTTCTGGTTTGTTTGTTTTTCTTCTAAAGTTTTTTTATTTATTTTTATTTTTTTGGCTCACATTTAGTGTGTTGAGTTTACTACTAAATAATCTTCCGTTCTTCTACAGGAATGGAAAGAGACTTGGGACCTGGTGGGAAATTATCCTTTGACCACACTTAATATACAAAGTCTAGTAACAATCACTCCCGGAAATTTATTTATCTCTGTTAAATTTGCATTCAATGGAATCTGACTTTAATGATGAAAAATGTCAGGGTATAGTCTATACCAGTTTCTACAAAGAGATTCTCATTGTCTTTGGTGACAATCAAGTGGGTAGGATGCTACACATTCTGCCCGGAAGACCTAAAACTCTTTGCCATATTGTTACTCAGTTGCTTAAAAAGCACATTATGTGTTTAAATCATTCTGACTCTTCAGCAGGAAACAATCCTTATATTTAGGAAAATTTACCAAAGCTAAGGGAAAGGGCTTTCCATGCCCCCTCCCCACCTCAACTCTGATTAAAAGTTAGTGAGTTAATATCACTTAACTATTTGGGTGCTTTTTTTTTGGTCTTGTCTGTAGCTGCTTAAGTATGATGGCTCCTTACATAAGCCAACGAACTCGCACTCTAGCTGACACACGATGGAAATAGAACTGAATAATAATTAACACTATTTTCCAGTAGGGTAGGACAATTGTTATTTAAAACGTAGTCCCTATAGCTTTATTTAAATGTACCTAGTTAAGGTTAATTTGGCATTTAAAGTAGTAAATCAGGAACATTCTCCTAACTTGGGTTTTCATAGGAAATGCACTAAACAGGAAAATTATTCCCGAAAACCTGGTGACCTTCACAGGAACATGGTGGGAACTGTGACTCTAAGTAAGCTTCACTGAAAAATGTTAACAGTTGTAATTGTAAAAGTGTTGCCAAATTTGTTTTCATACTCTCATTGATCATCATTAAAAATTCTCAAATGTAGACAATACTAACACTAGTTATAGAAATTAAGAAAACGTGGACTCCTGTTTGTGACTAAACGGACGTGGGGAGGTGCACCTCCTGTCACTGAGGGGTGCCTTTCTTTGACAGTGATGCTTTGCTTTGAATGTAGAGGGCCAGGAACCTTGACTTACAGCCAATAGCTAAGGTTTTGCTAAATATGGCATTTCAGGTTTTTTCTTGGATTTCTCATTAAAAATAGTCTTGTGTCTTGCAAATTTTTAATATCTCATGACTTGTATATTTTTTCTTTCCAGAATTTTTTTCCAGATCAAACTTGCTAAACTCATGTAAATATTTGTAGCTTACGAAGTTACTGATTAAACCTGTATTTGAGTGATAACGCACAAACCACTGGATTTCTCATGGCTGCAGGAAGTCTTAGGTTTCCCTGTGGGTCACTGTTAGGTGGTGCTGCTTTTGCTCATGAACAATGAGATAGAGTAGCTACTCACTTTAGCATCCTTCTAGCCACCTCGGTGCCTTGTAAGTCACATTTATTGACCAAAACCGAAATAAAAACAAGTCATGGGGAGGAAACAAAAACAAAATAAAAGAAACAAGGCAATGTTATGCTGTGAGAGAAAAGTTTCTCAGAGTTGATGAAAAGCGACCTAATTCCATGTCCAAAAAAAATCCCTGCAAAAACACAGGGTAGGGTGTGTAATGCCTATTAAAATAATGAGGAGAGAAGACCCATTTGAGGCTGGACGGTTTCAGATTGTTCTCTTATGAGATGGTTGGTTTGGGTCTCCATGAAGACGTGTGAACCTGTTCTCATTAAAAAAAAAGACCAAATTGGCTGAGATGCCCAGTTTATTTTTTGTGATGTGGATTACTATTTGCTAAGAACAAGCCAAGGACAATGAATCTGTTTTGCTGAGGAATGGAGAGTGGGATTGTGCTGAAGTCCCAAACGGGAAAGATCAATACTTTATTTACTAAGACAGCCCTAAAAAAATAGAGTCAATAGCTGGCTGTGCTTTTTTATCTGTTTCTCGGCTTAGGTTGATATTTATTCACATACGTAATCACTTTATCTAAATAAAAAATGATAAACTATATATCAAGCTTAAAATTCAGATGGTCATGGAATATGAGAAAAGTCATTCTTTGATGTGATTTTGTGATCTGTTTTAAAACTTGGTACAAATCTGTGAGGTAATCTTAAATGTGCTGAAGCTCACGCAATAGGATATTGTATAGTTTGATACCAAGACGCAATTAACAATGATACAAAACCATCACACTATGAATGTCCCTGTGAGATACAAGTGTGTTTTTATTATGATTCCCTAGCTGTAATTTAACCCCCCTTTATACGTTGCTTAAATTCCTCAGATTAGTTGCTTTTAGACCAAGAAACCAAGTGGATAAAAAGATCAAATGCAGTAAATGACATGGAATTATGGAAGTCGTAAAAATGTATTGCCCTTACATGACCTGGGGAGAGATACAGTAAATGATATTGCTCTCACGCGAAGTTTAACTTGTTGCCCCTTCCCCTAAGCGTGTGTTTGCTGAGGAGAGAGGCTCTGCTCTTTGTAGCCCACTTTTCACGATCTGCTCCAAGGGCAGGAGCTGGTGATGAGATTTAATATAATATTGGCTCGTTCACTTGTGGGGTCATCACCAGAAACATGGGGCTTTGCTTCAGAAGGACAGTTTGTGGAAGAAGAGTGTTGGATGTCACATACAGCTCTCTCCCTTCTGGATTCTTCAGGAAAGTCCAAAAATAGATGGATGGATAAAGAGATAAACAGATAGATAGAAACATGGAAGTGTAGACACATGCCTACAAACACACAGACACGGACATACATAATAGAGAGGACACAGGGAGATCGGCTAGAGCTTCGAATTTCCAGTGTGGAGATCTCAGGGAAAAAAATAAGGTCTTTATTTTTTTTAATTCCTTAATTAAAGAAATATTCCTGTACTCCGTATCTTGGAGAATTATCTCCAGATTTTCATGAAAGAAAAAAAAATTACAGTGGACATAAAAAAGATTCTACCCTCTACCACAGTAAGATATTTGTAAAACATATTTAATCTATTATGAAGTTGCTGGAAAACAAAAATGCCATGAGGCTGCACTGGAACTAGCATAGAATCTTATAGTGTGTGTCGCTATATGGAACACGGATTTCAGTAAACCACAGATTAAAGATTTTCCCTCTAAAGCACAGTAGCACAGAGTAAAAACCCAACACAGTAAGGTGAGCAGTTTGATAGAGAGTCCTGCTCCCTCAAAACCACAGGGCAGGGGGAAGTTCGCAAATCATGAGCTTAGTGAATCCAAGATGTGACCCAGAGGGACATGGCCTTCCCGTGGAGCTGATAAGGGCTCCAGTAACTTTCTTCTCCTTTTGGGATTGTTAACACACCAGCGTCTAGGGAAGGCAGGTCATGTACTGAAGCATCGGATGCCCAGTGTCAGCTGATTAAGCATGGCCAGGGCTCAGAAAGATCCGGTATACTATAAGTAAGAATGTGAATAGCTGTCTCAAACTTTAGGAATAACAAGAATAGCTGTCTCAAACTTTAGGAATAACAAGGTTGGCACCTGAAAAGTTAGACTGTACTCCTGACGTTTTATATTGAGGGTTTGCCTCATAGCAGCTTTCTGAATAAGTGGGAATTTCTCTACAGCGTATTCTGTGATATTGGCCGATAAAAGGTGACTGTAATCCACGAGGCGACACCATTGTCAACAGAGAGAGAGAAGATTTCAATCAGGTGATTTTCATTGTTTGATAGAAGTAATCTTCATGGCTCTGTTGTTCTTCATCAAAGGGCGCTGATGAAGCACCTTCATGCCCTGTGGTTTACAGAAGAAAGCGGAGAACCAAAAAATAGACTATTTGGTCCTTATTAAAAATGGACCCTATGTAAAGCAATGTGGTATTAAAACAGAGTGAAATCTAATACAAATGTGGCTTCAACAAGTGTTATTAAATTATTAGACCTTCAGGTAAAAATATACCCTTGAATTGGTTTTATATGCAATCAAAGCCAGGATGAAATATTAAGGCCCTAAGATTAAAGGGTCACGGGTGCGTGCATGTTTTGAAGCAGTGCCCCTAAATGATAAACAGAAAATGTTGCAGGTTAGCTCAGTTTTGCATATGCTGTGGATGCTGACACCTTGACCAATTTTGAGAGTGGAAGCCCCACTGGAAATCCTCACTCGATTCCAGGGATCTGGGTCAGCTGTGCCTGGTGGAGCTCATGTGTGCCTATGGATGTGATGTGGCTCTCTCTTTCCAAACTGCAAAAATCCCAGCCATTTTTGTGAGCATGCACTGGCCCTATGGCAAGATCCCGCTGTAGAAAGATGGCTGTGTCGAGGTTGGAAGAGAGGGCTGATTGCAGCAAATCCCCTTCTGAAACAAAGCCCAGTAAAAGATGCTGCTCTGCCTTCCTAACCGGTGTGATGCACTGGGGCTTCAGAAAGAAACACGTTTGGTTTTTTTGTTGTTGTTAAGAAATGCTTTCCTTTGTACCTGATAACTGAGTCTCAAGTCCAAGAAAACGATAGCATCTCTAGTTCTTGTGCTTCCCTTCTAGTAACTGGTGATTCATTAACAGACCAGGGGCATTTTCTCCTGTGCACCGACAGTGTTAAGTAAGGTACCATTGGCCTTATGCCTCAGCCCAGGCGGCAGCAGGCGCAGAGGCCCCAACCTGGGCCCTGCACAGGCCAGCTGGGTGACCCAGCCCAGGGCCGGCTGGCCCAGGCGGAGCCCCTGGGCACAGGCAGTGAGGGCAGAGAGCCCAGGCTGGCTGCTGCAGCATCTGTGCCTCGGGATCCCCTGGCTGTCCTGTATCCCTGCTCCGGGCAGTCCATGCCCTTGAGCGTAGGCTATCCTCACCCCGCCAATGTGGATCCCAAAGGAACAGACACCACAGCATAGGCTCAAACAAAGCTTTATCTCTGGGAGGAGGGTGAGCCTACTGCTTCCTTCCCATTCATTCTCACATTGATTTGTACCTGGGAAAGGTCCCAGCACAGCTCAGGGCCCTGCTCGCGGCTGGCAGAATGAGTCTGCGCTTCCAGTTAGTTGTGAGTTACCGCTGTCCCCACTGGAGGAGCGCTTCCCCCTGGGCGTGATCCGAATGGAACCTGTGGTGCGGAATCCTGAGAAAGGGCTGGGGGAGCCTCCTGGTGATCCAGTCCCGCACCCCTGGCTTGGGGGCAGTGCACCTCAGCCCCTCCAGGACTGTGGAACAGTTGGGTGGGGTCTTGCAGCTGAGCTTGGTAGCCCATGATGGTTTCCAAGTAACCACCGCTCCTCTCTGAAATTCCACTTGGTTTAATCTTCCGCACAGAACTCAGATGCCCAGTGGGCCCTTCTGAGCGCCCAGCCCCCTAAAACCTGCCGTGCTCACTGTTCTGAACACACTCACCCTTGCCCTTGGCCTTTTTGGGTTTGTGCTTAAATAAGCAAATACTCGGGAAGCCCTAGTGCACCTGAGGCCCCATGCTGGGTGCCGAGAAGGATACTGGAGTGGTGCAGGGGGGCACAGAGGTCCTCATGGGGAGAGGAGCCCCCGAGGTCAGACCAGCATAGCAGGAGGGCGACCTGTGGTTTGGCCTGGTGAGGACATTTAGTGTGGAGGGTGGTGCTCTGCTTAGTTGGACAGGGCCTCCATCCTGAGCTGCGAGGAGAGCAGGGACCACGAAAGACTGGGCCACTGGCTGTCTGGAAGCACTTACACAAAACACCAAAATTGGAGAACTTTAAGTCAAAAAACGTGTTCTTTGATTGGGTGGGCTGTGGTAGCCGTGAGGGAAGGAGGCCAGGCCAAGAGCTCCAGTGACGTCGGGGAATAAGGGAGCCCCTTGGAGTCTCTCGCCTGAGAGTGAAGGAGTCAGATCAGGAGGACTCAGTACCTGCTGGGAGGACCCAGAAGGGGACTTCCCCCACACCCTCGATGGTGGCCCTGAACTCCTCATCCAGCTGGAAGGACCCAGGAGGGGACTTCCCCCCACCCCACCCCGATAGTGGCCTGGAATGCCTCACCCAGCTGGGAAGATCCAGAAGGGAACTTTCCCCCGCCCCCCACCCCATGGTGGCCCAGAATGCCTCACCCAGCCAGGCTTTGTCCTAGCCCAAAAGCCAGGGCAAGTGCTCCCAGGCTGTGTGACAGAGAACTGTCCCCGATCTCAGGCAGGCACTTGGTTTTGCAGGAGGACTAAGAGTGTTGGGAATCTCCAGGCACCGCCCCCTGCCCACGCCACTGCGTAGACCCCAGGGGCCGTGCCTGGGACAGGATGTCCACAGGAAGTGCCCGCGGGTAGCCCGGAGACCTTGGAGGACAGGTGCTGTGAAATTTCAAGCTAAACACAGGCTCTGACTGTAAGGTCGCTGCACCTGTCTCGGCACACATGGACTCGGTGGTGGGCCTGAAGCCAATTTGCATCCTGGTAGCTTCCCTTTGAAAGCCAGGCCTAGGGAGTGTGTCTCCAACACAGGCTGGTACCTGAGGGTCCTGGGTCGGGGGATTCTCTCCTTTCAAGATATCACTGCCACTGCGTGGAGCTCCTCACTGAGGCCTGCTTTGACAGCGGGCTTAGCCTCCTGCCTCGTGCCCACTGAGGGGATGTTTCTAATTCTTTCCACTGCATCCACTTCAGAGACCAACTCATGCTCATCTGAGCCTCCTCCCCTGCTGCAGATGCAGCCGGACTGTCCCAGCTGCCCTCCCCAACCCTTCAGAGGAGCAGGGTGGGCCTGTGCGAGCCTTGCTCGGGGGAGCCTTGAGATTCTGCTCCTC